TTATTTATTTATTTATTTATTTATTTATTTATTTATTTATTTATTTATTTATTTATTTATTTATTTATTTATTTATTTAATACAGCCTATTATTTTCATTTCCCTGCATTTTTTCCATACTGACTTTTAAATGATAAGTATATCATTCTGTCATTCCTAAAAATGCTTATAGTAACAACTGGAAATAATGAAGGGCTACAATTAAGACTTTCCCTCACACAAAAGAAAGTATGTGAAGGATGTGAATTTTAATCCATTCATGGTCCAAAAATGCCTTATTAACTGAGTAAAAATGCAGCTATACTAACACAAGAATTTCAATAGAAATCGATTTCCAAAAAAAAAAAAATGTCTCTATGCACAAAGAAGTGGGAGGAGATTGAGAGGGGAAAATTGAGATGTTCTGGGAACATATTAGTATTAACTATTAGCAATAGCAACAGAAGTAACTTGAGATTCTGAAGTATTAACATTAAGTTGAGTGTGGCTACTGACATTAAAAAAGCAAACAGAACTCGCGACTGTTTTTGTTCTGACAGTTTTGATTAATTTGGCAGTTTCCACCTACCCACCATAAAAGGTAGAAACACTATTCATCATAATTGCATGGAATTAACTAAGGATATTAAATTGCTTTAGAAACTGAAAAACCTAGTAGCTGAATATCAAAATGTCAATAGAGTAATGTCATTAATAAATACTATTAACTCAATAATAAGATTTTGCTGGCCCGTCAGAAGAGGAGAGGAAGCAATTATGTAGAGAAGGGAATGGTCTCCCAGACTAATTTAAAGGATTGGACAATAATAGACAGATCAAAATCTTGAAGGACAGTGTAGAAATACTGTACGACTATTTCCCTACAGGTTTCTGTAGAATGTTGCAAATTATAAAAACATTTGTTTTAGGAAGTTTAATTAATTCAAAATGTGGTTTTGCCAATAGTGAAACACAACTGCAAACTGGAAAGCTGATTCAAAGAACAGAGAGACCTCTGTTGTTGGAAATTACCTATCAGTCAGATTTTGTATTACAAATAAATCTCCGCTCACTTTCTTCAAAGATATAATTGCTCCAGAATACTGTGCAATCTGTCGGGGTATATTGCAACAGGCCAAGTTAGAAAAGTAAATACAAATAATTATAGAATTCACCGCAAAATATATCCTGGAATTTATTGTAAGATACATGGCACTTTCACTACAGGCATCAGCTAAAGTAGAATACTGTATTACAATGGAATAATCAGTCAACAACAAATCAGTTTGGACATAATCTGCCAGAAATGTCTCCTACAGAAGCCCCACTGAAACAAATGGGAACTAACCCATTTCTACTGGGGCTCCACTGATTTCACAGGAAACATGGATTTTGTACAGGTAGCACAATCTAGGTTAATGAGACATGCTCGTTATTGTAGTCAAGGATTTTGTGTTGTTGTTACAATCCTCTTCTAGTCTGGATTATCTCTTTGCCGGCTTCTAGCCAGATCAACAGAACATGAAAGGATCAACCTCTGGATCCAGATGCAGTTTATGTAGAACAAAATGATGGCAGTCAATGGGATTTTAACAATGCAATCCTGGGTCTATTTATTTATTTAAAATATTTTTAACCTTGCATTTCCCCACAAAAAGGACCGAAGGCAGCTTACTCTGAAGTAAATTCTGTCAGATTCAGTGGGGTTTATTCCCAAATTACTATATATAGTATTCTTCTTTGGATCAGGCTTCCCCAACAAGCCTCCAGAACTTTTATTCCTAAATAAATTCCTTTAGCAAACAAAAGGATCCTGCTGACAAATGCCTGCAAGTAAACTGGGAGTTTAAATTACTTTCTAAAAGAATAGATGTGCATTTCGATACATGCCCATACAGAAGGAAATCCCACTGTTTTATATGACACTTACTTCCAAGTAAATGTGACTACCATTATATTCAGGC